GTGTGTGTGTGTGTGTGTGTGTGTGTGTGTGTGTGTGTGTGTGTGTGAGAGAGAGAGAAAAGCCAGCGCTCTGTAATCCACTCATTTCCATCTCCTCATCCATATTCTGCCACAAGTAAACAATCTCACACACACACACACACACCCTGTCCCCTGCATGGGTAATAGAGGTCAGCTCATTGCGAGAGAGTAATGTCGGTGGGCAAGCGAGCAAAGGGAAAGGGGGATTTGGTTGATTGGTTGCTTCTGCATGTCTGGCATATTCTCCTGTTCTTTGACCCCTCCCATACGATTGCACTCACACACACACACACACACACACTGAGCTGGGGTCAGTCTTGTCAGTTGCCTTCCATCCCAGACCCTATTTCTTAAAGTGATTTCCTTTGTCCACCTGAAGTGCCGTTAAGAATACCCCCTAAAAATCAGCACTCTCATTTCATTTTGGTAACCTTTCCTTCTTCAGTCATTCCCCCGGGCAGATTGTTAAAGGGATAGTTCAGATTTCTTGTAGCGGGGTTGTACGGGGCACTTACGGCTGTCTGCACGCTCCCAGTTTGGAGAAACGGGAGCGAACAGGACAGCCCTCTCAGACATGAAGCCCATACCACTGCTCTAAGCCACAAGACTCCACTGACAGAAACGGTCATTTTAGCGAGCAGGAGAAGGGAGTTGCTGGTCTCCCGCTGTCTCAATTGGTTCATTTGTTTGTGTGACTGTGTGACTTTGATCTTTTAAAAGGGTTAATTTGGATTCACCAAAATCACCCAATACAAGAAACAAGCTAACCGATCAAGGCAGCGGTAGACCAGCAACTTCCCAAATAATTGCTGTTTTTGTCAATGGAGTTTGGAAGCTTTGAAGAGAGGATAGCTGCAAATAATGATTTTAGCTCCTCGTTGGAAAGGGCTGTTTGACGGCAAGATAAAGAGCTGTAAATGTTCTGAATATAGCGCACACTTAAACTGCCTCCACGCTGAGTACAGACGTGGCCGGAGAAATGTAGTTTTTTGGCTTGTGTCCGTTTGTACCTCCGTCCATCCGCTCCGTTCTTAATCCATTCAACGTGATGCCTCAGGAATGCCTGGAGGGAATTCTACAAATTTGGCACAAATGTCCTCTTGGACTGCAGGATGAATTGATTATGACAATTTCACATAAATATCTAATGGGACAAAATGATGAAGTGACCGTGGTACTGATCCGTGGTGTCCCTTTAAGTTATAATTGATGCAGTGTTCAGTGTGTAGATTTTTCTCACTTCACATTAAAAGTAATGACATAATTTGATTAAGGAAGCTCTAAAATGCATACTGTATATAAAAAATAAAAAAAATAATTTAAAAACATAACCAACTTTTGTGACAATATGCATGTTTGTAGCTTTACGAAAGTATTATACATGTTTCACCCCCCGTCACCTCTGGGAAGGCTGCACGCGATAAATTTAATTTAAATGAATCAATCAGTGGTGTGTGTGTGTGTGTGTGTGTGTGTGTGTGTGTGTGTGTGTGTGTG